GGGGGGGGGGCAGCAAAGCCCCTGCAGGAGTAGCCTCACCAGCCCAGATGCCATTGCGGGGGAGAAAGCAATGGAGGACAGAAGGAAAAAAATTGGACCAGTATTGTGGGAACACAGTTTTTGTATTGTTTTTTATATTTGTATTATTTTTATATATTTTTTTCCAAATATTTTCAATCTGTGGTTGCTTGAATCCATATATCTGAATCCATGGATACAAAGGACGGACTGTATATGTATTTACTTATAACAAAATTATAGCTTATATTTCTACGTTGATAATATTTATAATACTTATGTTTCTATAACTCCTTTAGAAGCCTAAACATTTTTATGAGTATTTTCAAGATTACTAGGAACAGACAGTTAACTTGAAAGATGTCTTTGAAGAAATGAATTTTAACTAGTTATGAAGAAGACGAATGCCAAGAGATTACTAGAGAGCAAAATACAAATGGGACGTATGTCGAAGCAAATGGCTGAAGGTTCAAACAAGTTACATGGAGACAAGCAAAAACATCCAAATAGGAGAAAAAATTAAAATAATAAAACTGAAGGAACGAAGCAAATAACGAGTAGAAAACTTTAAAAGCCAAAGAGCAGTCTGAAATCGACATGGTTAGAAACTCAGAGTAAAATCTTAATTGAAATGCACCAAGATGAAACCAAATTCTTATTGAGAATATTCTCACAAATAAAAATCGCAATGAAAAGCGTGTAGAAGAATAAAAAAGTTTCACAGCTGTTGTAATAATATTTTAAATTAAGCTCTCCAAGTAGAAAGAAAGGGATTTTACAGGGTTTGGTTGGAAAGCATATAGGTAGTTTTCATTTCCTAAAGTGGTATATTCTAAATCCAAAATAGTTTAACAATCAAACAGATAATTAAATAGCAAACTCACAGTACTGATTTTGCCTTTTCTCTTCACTGGAAGAAATGGGCATGCTTTCACTTGAAGATCTTTAATGGCAGCAGTCATTGTACTGTTTTCAAGGTCACCTTTACAGCAAATTTCACATTGCGTTGTAATGACTAAAGCAGGAGCATCATTTCTTGTCATGTCAGCCACAAACACAATTTCAGGATTTCTAATAACAGTATTAATTTCCCACTTCTCTGATTGCCGTGTAGGTACTAAAACAGAAATAAAAAATAAATTAATACTTTAAAATGTTTATACATATTTACTATATATTATTTATCTCTTATGAGAAAATGTTATTTCATTCTAAGTAAATAGTAAATTAAAACAATCTTAGATTCTAAAGGAATCTACTGCAACTCCCTTAATAAAGATTTGAAGAAGCTATAGACATAAGAACATTAACAAATATAGGACAAAATCTCTACTACTTAATGTCAAAGCTAGAAATTAATCCAGTTTCCAAATTTCAACTTGACATCCTTTCTACTATAACACAATGAATGAAATATGTCAAAAGATAATAGAGAAATAAACATAACAAATAAATGAGTGCTTTAAATTAAAATACTATCTTTAATTATTTTAAAGGAGTGGATGGTTCACTCTTCTTCCTGCTTATTTCCTTCTATGATAAATTCTTCTGAATTACTGCAGAGAAATACAATTACTTATTCCAATGTAGGTCTCATACTTTTTGAACCCAGTATATATTCATGCCTTTAAAATAAATGCAAACTGCAAATCCTCCCAGAAAATTCATTAAGGTTTTCCTCCTACCTCTGAAAAATAAATATTTTAATTTATAAATGCATTTACCCTGATCATCTAAAAGGCTAATCAAGGTAAATGTTGTCAGAGCACTTCGATAATATAAATATTAAATATTTTACCAAGTAACTAACCTTCTTCCTTAGAAGTCCATGTTTGAACATTTGTTTCTACAGCACTGCCTATGGTGTAGGCCTCAAAAAAGACATTTGCAACGGTCAGCAGAAATTCCACACTTGCACAAATATACATTTCTTGAAAGACTGCATCAGTCACACAACCATCTCTGACTCTCTTATACTTTACATCCATCATGTTCTTTTTGTCAAACCCCACTGTCAATCCTATCATTCTGAAAAACACAATAATAACCACTATGTTTGCGTAACTTACAAATAACCAAACACATCAATAAAACTGGAAAGATCTCGTCTCTTTCACTAAGAGCAAACAAGTATTCTGAAGTCATGTCTCTAGGGAAGATCCACAAGGTGCTCCAAATAATGAATTTACAAATTTCTGGAGTACAACTGTTTCATAAATTAGGAACTGACTGTTTAAGAAATTATCAGAGTTTTGAATCTCGGCATATTTTTTCTTCTTGATTTTT